TGTCGTGTGTATTTCAGTGGATTTCGCGTGTATTTCAGTGGATTGCGCGTGTATTTCAGTGGATTGCGCGTGTGTTTCAATGGATTTGGTGCGAAGTTCAGTGGATTTGGTGTGTATTTCAATGGATTGTGTGTATTTCAATGGATTTGGTGTGTATTTCAGTGGATTTAATGTGTGTTTCGGTGGATTTGGTGTGTATTTGGTGCGTATTTCAGTGGAGTTGGTGTGTATTTCAATGCATTTGGTGTGTATTTGAGTGATTTTGGTGTGTATTTTCAACGGATTTGGTGTGTATTTCAGTTCCCCGCCGTGCAGAATATGAATTGCGAGGCCTGTACAAACTACTGTATAGTAACTGGTAACTATAGTTTTGAGTGTACGGGTATCCAATGCAAACCCCTCAAAATTCCAGTCAATTCCTTCCAACACCCATCAGAACCCCTTCTGGATATCGCAGATTCTTACACCTGTGGTGGAAATGTGGTGTAATGTGGGCGGTTGTGTTGTAAAGGGGGGGTGGTCAAAACAACAGACGGGGCTCCAGTTTTTGCCTCTACTACAGGGGGTAGAGTAGAGACAAAGTCCTGATTTCGCTGGTGCCTTTGTCTCTACCCCCTGTAGTAGCAAAAACTGGAGCCCCGTCTGTTGTTTTGACCCCCCCCCCTGTTACAACAACCACCCAGCCTACACCGCATTTCTATCATGGGGCAGGCATGGCTTGAACTTCCCAAAACTCTACAGGCACCCTATGCGGTCATCGGAAGCATTCCCAATTGCTTCTAATTCACAACAAGTACGCGCTGCTGTTTTTGTCTGTACCAACAACAACAGCAGCAGCAAAAGCAGCAATGACGACCAAAAAGCAGTGGACAACAGTCTTGGTCATAATCATCATCACCATCATCAGCAGCAGCACCCTCGTCATCTGTCGCTGTCATTATCATTTCAGTATCATTCAGCATCATGACCTGCCCAGGATGGCAGTTTGGAAGCTGCTGCTACTCGCACGCTTCTCTGAAATGTGCCCCTTCAAACATGTCCCGCTCGCACCGCGCACGTTCGAGTGCCAGAACCCGCGAGATTGGTGTGCATCTTCCCAGGCTGTACTACATGTCGTCCGTGACGGGGCCATTGGAAGGTCCGCCGAAGGCCGACCGGGATTGGGACTAAAGCCACGGGGACCGCCCCGGAGTCGCGAACGAGTCCGAGCTTGTATTTCAGAGCATCAGTAGCTTCTGGCAGTTCTGCGGAGTGGACGAGGATATAGGGATCTCAGTGTTTGGATTGTTCAAGAGGTGCTGTCGAGCCTGAGATAGATGCCTGCAATCGTCAGCTGAATGTCGAGAGCCTGACGTGGCAGTGCCGCGCCGAATAGTGGTAACAGAGAAATCGGAGATTACAGTGAACTTGGCGCGCTTGGTCTGTGCACTCTGGATCTCCTGTCCGCGACAATCAACGGAACAGGGAAGCATCAAATCCGGGAGACAGGGGCTAGAGCATGGTCCATGGAGTAGTCTGTAACTTTACAGCCTTGGTCCGATGGCGTGCAATGTCGCAAAAGGCTCGGGGCACGTTCGCACAACGGTCGACCGAAAGCAAATATCTGCATGCGACACAGAAAATCATAAGAAGATGCAGTAGCATGAACCGATGAGGCAGGATCACACGACATTCCCGAAGGGCGCCCCAAGGCCTTCACGAGAACACCACAGCCTGTAGCCTGTCGGTGCAGAGGTGATCGGCTCTGTGCCAGAGCTGGAAGAGCTCACGGCGAAATGTTCGGCGGGCGAAGTGAGCCGCACTCAGGATGACAGCAAAGGTCGACTTCCCCAATATGTAATCAGTTAACTAGTTGCTAAAGCTTGAAGCTTCGCTTGATTCTGGTGATCTCGGTCGCAAGGCTTAAGGAAAGCTCTCAGGTTCAGCATCGGAGGAGCGCCTGTCCTTTTCAATCCTGTCCAGCCAAACACCCGGCTCTCTAGAGATTTGACCCTGGGACCGGAAGCCTCTGCGGTGAAACGGAAGCCTGGTGAGCCGCAAGAAGGTCGCACCTGCGGGAGGTCCACATTCCGAGGGCCATACTCCAGCAGATTGCACCGGAGGCTGGGATTTCGAGGTTCTTGGGCTGTAGAGTAAAGGGTTGATCTGCAGGGCGCCGCTAGGCTGTTGGCATAATTTTGGCGATGGCATCTGCGCAGAATACCATCAATAGCCGCCCAGAAACAGATAGGCACACGATCTTTCACGATGGACAATGCGTAGACTTATGAGAGATCTATGGTGACCTCCAGATCGGATGTTTCGAGAAGTCCCGTGACCTTGTTGCCACCGGATTGTTTGCTGAGTGCCATCTTGACCCTGGGCTTTGCGATCATTTGTATATGCACAATGGAAGAGAGATGAAGAGAGAGAGATAGCTGATACGTCTGGATCTCAGCTGTAGGGCTTTTCTCGACTCCTGAGCAGCGCAGGACGAGAATGTGGCGGATGGCCCCGATCGGGACGACCCAGTAAGGAGCTGTGGAGAGAGATCAGAGTTCGGCAGCGAGAAGCCCAGTGTAACAAAGACCATCCAAAGAGCCCATGGGAGGAGCAAGAGAAGGACTCACCGATTCGCAGTGGTTGAGTAGAACAGCAGGCACTGTCTATGAAGCGCTTTCAACATATCGTAAATGTTCCGCTGATCTCTCTGTCTGTGTACTTTGTAGGAGGAGGGTTTACCTCATCAGGTCCCGAGCGACTTCACTAGGCCGCAGCTGGTCGATAACACGAATCCTCGATGCTTTGACCTGGTATCACGAACTCACGCAGGAGTGATCCGTAAAGACAGGCGCACTCTACGGCTGCAACTCAGGCATGAGGTTCCACCTCCGTTTTCAGAAGCGTTGATCCAGAATTCCTGGTTAGATACGAAGAACCGGAACATCAGTCTTTGTCTGGCAATCGGGTGAGAGGACGACTGCCGGTCGCCTGCAATTCTTCATGATGCTGTCGGCGACCCATTCTTTAGGATGTGTGGGCTAGATTTTGCAGCATCTGAGTCGCCCGTTGGATCCCAGCCGGAAGCAGCAGCCATTCGAGGGCTTGTGGTTGAGGAGTTGAGGGTGCTTGCAGAGTTGTATGCAGAGTTGTGAGACAGCTTTAAGCTATGTGTATGTGTATATATATACAGATACATCATCGCACCATCAGTGTGCAAAACGACGAAGACGAGGTTTGCGACATTGGCTCGACTGAACAACAAGTTTAAGAACGAAGGCTTGTTCGAAATGCTTTCCTTGTTTGGAAGCATCAAATCAAAGTCACCCTCATGACCATCTACAAGCAGCCACAAGCGCACCGACCGATCGAGCCACTCATCCCAAGGTTCCTGCTTGCCTCGACGAGTTACGAGTCCTATCCAATCTAACTTAGCCAAGCCTGCAGATTTGCTTGCGGAATGTCATGAGCCAATCCAGATCTCGTACAGTATCTTGCCAGATACACAGACCTAGTGGCCGAAAAAGCTTTGCGAAAGCAGAGGCACACTGGCAAAGTGCACCCTATGCGTGCGGACACCTGGATGGGAGGGTCGGCCTAATCGATGGGCTCCGATCCTTCCTCTGAACAACTCTGTTGTTCACCTGACTTCTCGTAGGCATTGCAGTTTCGGGTTTGGGTTCTAGGCTCAGGAGCGAGGAATTAAAGTGTCGGACATGAACTTGCGAATGCTGGTCTCTCACCTCAAGCGTTATCCGCAGGTCCTTGCTTCTTGTGATTTCACCCCGAGCATCTCCAAGGCAGCAACTCCGAGCTCTTAGACCTGCTGGACCATCGCCGAATCGGGGGGGGGGGGGGGGGTTGCGGCCTCGTAGGCTTCATTCAGGTCTCTTGTTCGCACCCTGAAATTCCCAGACTGCTTGATTGCACCGGACGGCGTTGGTGTCCGTGTGAGCGCGTGTTAGCCCAACCTCAAAAGGCGAAGGGTCCAAACTGTTCTTTCAAGCGAGCGTGGCCTCAGGATGCAGCTGCACTCGTTGAGCCCTGAAGCAGGCACTGGACTTCCCAAGCAGAGATCTCGTGGCATGCGGCAAAAGCTTCTAGACATTCTCTCTTTCCCTCCCCAAACATGGAGAGACCCTGAAGCCTAGGACTGGCCCCGTCCCACACACGCAAAAAGACAACGACCAAGCAGTAGGACTATGCTCTAGCTCTATGTGGGCCGCACCATTAAGAAGACCACGAGAAAGCTGGAAAGAAAAAGCGAGCCAGTTCCCTTCAGTCCGATAATCCAGTCGTTTTACGCTTGGGTTCAGGGCTCCAAAATGAGGTTTCGGTGACTGTTACCTCCGAAAGTCTGGTGCTTGAGGGATCCAAGACGTGGGCTTTCGGTGTGGTAATTTGTAATTGTAGAGTCCGCTGATGATTGGAGCTTTGGGAGTCTCGATTAGCTCCGGGACTTCAGCTCTTGCCCCAAACACCTTGCCACCGCTACGCGGTGCTTCGTCGGGGCTTGGAGCGTGAAAGACCATCATTGAGTGAATGCCACAAGGTTTGGAACCGCAAAGTTCTTGCTAGCCAGAACAGCCTGAAACCTCAAAAACCGCTGTCTGAACACCAGCTCAAGTCCTTTGAGTTTCATGGTTGCGGTCAACATCACCAAATGCCGGGACTCTCCTTCGTTTCTCGTCGACAGCCTCTTGAGAAGAGTGTGCGCTCATGCGTCGGCATGCCCGCCTTGCGCCACGACCGTCCTTAGCACATGTGCCTGCAGAACAAGGCGCGTGCAGCGACTAATGGGTACTAGTTGCATCACCAGGAGCACAAGACTAGGTTATTTTCCCTGAGAAGTAGTCTAGCTTGTGCCGAAGGATGGTTTCGGACGCGGTCATCGTTCGAAGAGCTGGAAGACTCACGCGCCCGAATGCCCGGAATGAACTTCCGGCGGCAAGACACAGCAGAATCAAAGGGGAACCTAGAACCGTAGCTAAACTCGTTTAAGCCAGAAGAGCATACTGGCAATGACAACATTAATACTACTCGAAACAGGAACACTACTGCCAACATCATCATTAAGAGCAGCACCTCAGTTCGCCTTGATCAACACTGAACGGAGCGACCGCAATGGCTTCGACACCGGTGTATGCCAATGGCTCCGCGAAGGATGCGCTGCCGGGATTCAAAACGTGGGACTGGATGGCTGCAGAGCCGAAGACGCCGTCTTTGCAAAGGTTCGAACCTGGCCCCCGGTGGTCGCACATGGTTTCGAGCTGGTGAGACTACGAGAGATCTTGAACGGGCCTGGTACCCCTGGAGCACATGCAGAGGATAAGTGTCGTCGATTCTGCCACCAGGAGCATCGTGGACCTGGCTCCCTGCACGGGAGGTCCTGGCAGGCGTGGTTGGAGCTCTTTAGTGCCAAGTCCAGCAGCAGGTGAGAGCTGCAGATGCACGAATTACTTGATTGCTTCAGGAGCAGAGGGCACCGGCTTTGCTGGACCTGCTTCGCGCCGGGGAGCTGTGTGACCTTGTCCGATCCTAAGGTTTTTTGGAATCGGTTTTCTCTGACGGCTTGTCGCTCTTTGCTAGCCTGGCGGATGGATGATCCGCTAAAGCTCTGATGCGTGCGGACGACACTACCGAGGGAAGCTTCAGTTTCGGTAGTGTGCTTTGAGCTGTCACTACGACCAAGTTTAGACCGGTTAGAGGGTCTGAAAAAAGCCACATAGGATTGGCAATCCTGCTTTTGCACTTGTTCTCGGAGCCGCTCCGGTTCTTGTCGCTGGGTTGCTGATGCACCAAAGACCGTCGAACAACTGGATGGCTCCCCAAGCCAGTCTAAGCGAAATTTCGTCCTCATCGCATTGGACTGTGTGTTACGGTATTCGCATACAGGACAGGGCCTGTGTCTATGTACACCATTGTACACCACTAGTTGGAAAGAATCTGGCAACCTGCTGCACCATTGACCTCAAGCCGCCGACTTGCACGACCCTGACATTAGAAACTAACCACACATGCCCAACAGACGAAGCTCAAATATCCTTCTCGGCGCCTCTAACTTGCTAAGATTGGGACATCTCACTGATCTTACTGCAGGTTTTGTTGGCAGGTGAGCCTGCAGAACGGGCCGGGGCCCGAAAACGGTTTGAGTCCATTTGGAGACCTGTACCTTTCGCAACTGTACAGTTGGTATTGGGCTGTGGTGGTTGTGCTGTCGGGCTTGATGGCAGAGGGCCGGAATGGCAAAAACCAGGTATGAGTACGGTCCAGCCTTCTGATTGCTCCTGCACTCTTCTCTGGAGACTGACCTGCCCGTCCCCTAATCCCGAAATGCTTGTCTGACGCAGAAAGCTGCACATAGACGGTGTCGTCCATGATCTTTCAATCACTTCAAAAATCCCAACGAGCCCTCATGTTCCTCACTTCGAGCCTCTCGGCCTTATGCTGAAGGTCCCTGCCTCCCGGCTGCTACTCGCAGCAGCGAGTGCTGCCTTCTACGCGCGAGCAGAGGTCCGCATTCGGGCAATTCCACTGCTGTTCAGGGCGTAGAACGATCTTAAGAGCCTTTGCGTATTCGGACCCCCGAAGATTTCATCGAAGTCTTCAGCTGGAGCCTGTACCAATTTCCTTGGGCCAAGTGATCTCGGAGCGGCTGGCTGTGCGTGTGCTAAGACGCTCGAGATGCAAGGCATCGCGCATTGCCGATGAGGAGATGCTTGTCCCTGAGACAACTTGGCTTCAGTTTCTTATTGTAGCATAGTTTGCATAATCTAGTATATGATACATGAATAGACGGTACGTATTTTGCGGTATGTAAAGGCTCTCTGGGTGATCGTGTTCTCTTGACTTAGGGCCTCGTCTCGGAAGTGCTCAACTTAATATCGTACAGTCATAAATGACGTGGACCTCAAGGGACTTGAAAGCCACAGCTGGCGAAGGTTGTTTGGGATTGATGAAGTCTTGAATCCTGTCCGAAATCCAACACCTGGTATGTTGTTTCGCTGCGCTTGTGTTGACATGATGCTGTGCAGACCTAAATTGGCGCACTGTGTCAGGATTGACAAGGTGCGAAGCATATGCGCGCTACAGCTGACTTCGTGAACGCAGCCCTTCCATAGTGAATTTCAGATTCCTACTAAAACTGTCCAAGAATGAGCTTTCGCTGCCTGACTCACAAGTTTCCGTTGCCTTGGACTGAGGTACGTATTGAAGTGCCCGGAGGCGAGGGCGGCAAGCTACCAGTGCCATCTAGATTACTTGCTGCCTGCGTTGATTAGTGGCGCGACAAGCAAAGGCCCCAGCTGATAGATCTTGCAAGAAGCTTTCGCAAGCGCGCTGAATCGGTCCTTCTTCGTTTGCATCTCAATGTCGCAGTCTGTGATGAGACTGGACTGCAACCGGTGGGAAGCGGCAAGCGCTCTCAAAACTACAGTACCCACAAAACTTGAACTGACCCTCAACCCGGAACCTGATTCTGATGACTCCCAATCCTGAACCCAGGTTATAAAGGCTAATTAAGCCCGAAGCCCTCGCCCCATCACCCAGAGACCCCAAATCCTTGAGAACCCCAAGCCGGTAAAAGAGCTCCGGTCCATGGCCTCGCCCGCATCGGTGCGGTCCTACGGGCCTGGAGGAGGACACGTGCGCTCTGCTTTTGATGGTGGTCTTTTGAGTGTATCTGACGGTGTGAATGGCTGTCTTGAACACCTTCGGTGAGATCTCCAGCATGGTTGTGGGGCTATATTTCCCTAAAGCAGTGTGGTACATACTAAGGAGTTCCAAGTTTCCGTGCAAAGCCGTTCGCGCGAGGCATGCGCCGAAGGTTTCCCACTCCCGCGTGGTGCGGTAAGCCGGTAAGCAGTTTGCGATCACGTCCTGCGCTTTCACACCGGATCGCTTGGAGACTAGCTTCTGGAGAGCCAGATTCATTGTACTTTGGGGAAAGCAGTGTGGCCGTGCTCCTGAATCCCCAGTTGGCGTGGTCTTCTGGTGTGCCCAGAATCCCGGAGATCTGAATAGGAGCTGTTTCAAGTTATGAACCCGATCTGGTACAGTACTGCCATGTAAGGCGTAGACTAAAGATGTGATTGCAGAAAAGGGCCACAAGAGTACAACAAGCGCCAAAGCTGCACCCCAACTGGTTTTAGGGTCCAGGGTGTCGTGTAGGGTCTGCAAGATGCTTTAGGGTACCCTCGTAGCCTGCACTGGCAAAAGCCCCTCAGAGCTCCAACTTGAATCACCATCAGATGGAGTACTGTCCGGCAGGAAGTCTTGGATCCAATGCGGGGAGCCAGTTTGAGCAGGCGGCAGAGCCTGTGTGCTTTAAAAGCAAGGGCCGGGCAAATTTCTGCGGCTTCCTTCCTCAACAGGTTGGCGATAGACAGCTTCAACACACGTTTCAGTCCATGTCGGCTCTGAAGGGTCTTGGCTCATGAAGGAGGTGTCCTTTCCGGAGCCGTTCACGCACACAATAATCACAGAAGCAAGCCTTCAGGTTGCAGCTCCGCTGGCGAGCGAGTTGCTCGCCACACTGGAACAGGCGCGACGTTTCGGGGCTCCCCTGCATGCGTTCGGACACCACAGCACCCATGGGGCACCGTGCTGAAGCAAGACAAGCCCCAATTCCTGCCAAGTTCCAGAATCCTTGCACGGGGATGAAGCTAGCTTGTCTGTGCAAGTAGGGAAGACCAAATTCAGGCTTCGTCGTGATACCTTGGGCTGGGAGGGTTAGGTTTATCCGGCACTCAACTGAGTACAGTTTCGCCCTGAAAATCAAATTGAAAACCTAGGTATGGGGATTATCTTCAACCCTCAACCTCGAAACCAACGGTCGAAACAACTAACTCTTTGACGAAACGATCCTGACATGTTCTTGATGACCTTAGCAAGGGAACGTGTCTTAGCCAAAGAGTGCCTTCATCCTCAACGGCCTCCAAGCCTCAAGACATAGGGAATGGTCCTGGCAATTGAGTCAGAGTTTTGAGTGCTTCGGACTTGGACCTTCCATTGCCAGGGACTTGAGCTTCAGGTTCCCACACAATTCTCTCCACAGTCTGGCTTGTGATCGTCGCAGCCCCGACTGCAGCTCCATGCTTCCGTACGCTTCGCTCCCAACTCTCCCAGTTCGCCCCCCTCCACGCCTAACAACTTCAGGAGCACAACCGGGAGATCTTGACCCTGTACGAGGAGCAGGTATGGGCCAGAAGCAGGGATCGTCCTTAGAAGGAGGGAGTTGACCGGGCCTCCCCGGTCCGTACATCCATGCCCGTTGACCGTTGGCCCTTGTATGGAGCGATCTCTTTGCTGGAGATTTGAGAGTGGTCGAGGTTGGTTCACATTTCAGGGCTGCGGGGCATCGACAAGGATCGCTCGTGGTTCCGGGAGCGAAGAATCGGGAAGATTCGGGAAGTCTTCCAGCGGATACGATCCACCAGGTTTGTGAGAACATGCAAGATTCCTGTCGCTCTGCGGCAGACAACCACAATTTTTTGGGACAATGGCAGAGCTCATATTCTTGAGCCTGCGCAGCCAAGCCACGATCCAACAGAGCTTCGTGCTCCCCTCACTCCGACTCCTAAGTGCAAGGCCGGGTGTTCTAAACTTCATCCCCGAAGAAATCGAGGCATGTCTTACGCCGATGCGAAGTGTCATGTCTGCTGGTGCAAGAGAAGGCCCTCCCCACATTCTTTTGCAGGTGCGCTTGCGCGAGGAGCTTCGGAGAGTCGTGGACCTGATGCAGCAAGAGGCAGTCTGGGACAAAAAGAAACGCACCGGGGCACTTCCCAGAGACATACCATGTTTGACCAGCAGAGCAGATTGACACCGTCCAGGTACTGGTGTGGAGTTTAATTTAGGCCTGGGCTCTTTTGCCAGGTTTTGCCGCGTGAGCGGCAATTACATGACATGTTTGAGAAGCTCAACGAAGCTTTCCACACGCCGGGAGCTTATGCAAACTGGACATGCAGATCCTCTAACTCCAGGGATTGGCGGGCCATCATCAAGCCTAACTTAAGCAGCTCAAACTGGAGGAACTTCGAATCCAGTACGCCGTCTAGTTCTGAGCCCCGTCCACGGGTCTCCCGGCCTGCATGGCAAGGTCAGCCCAGAACTTGCGCCGGCAGCAGGAGGCGGAGAGCGCTAGAGTCTAGAGGTTCTGGTAGAGTGTCAAGGCATTCGGCAAGAGAGCTTTCTTCTCTCCACATCGGGCATGAACAGCTTAACTCTAAGGCCCAAATCCGGCAATGTAACCCCCAAACCAAAGTGCCCAGCTAAAGCCTTAGATGGATGCTCGCTTTTGGCATGTCTTAGAAAGTCCATGGATGCAGGAGTTCCACGCCCGAGCTTCGTTCGGCCCTCGGCGTCTCGTGAGGGTTCAGGAATGTTCTGGGCTTCGGGCAGCTTGGGTTTACGGCGAAGAGTTCAAGATGTAGAAGTTTGGGCTGTATGACTGGGCTTTGAAGGGTTCTGTGCCAGTGGCATTTGCACTTGCCCAGGTCCTCAACATAGAAGAAGCTTCGCCAGTCAATCAAGTGGTGTCATACACCACGAAATCTCGAAAACCAAGCTCGTCCAGTCCAGCATTCCAGGCAGATGACCCAGAAGCACGACACGTCCCGGCGGGAGATGCTGGATCCATTGCAGGCTGCCGAGGGCCGCAACCCACCTCGAGCTACGGACATCCAGCTTCAGACTGCACGCTTGGGTCTTTGGCCTTCTTGCTCCTCTTCACAGAGCCTGCCCCATCCTCCGTTTGCTTGTAGTCGTGACGTGAACAGTTAGAACCTGGACCAGTCTCCGAATACTTCTCGCAGGCAGCCGAAACGGAGCTGACAAGGCCAGCTTGCCAGTCAAATTGGAGCGGGCGATGGGTGGCTGGCTTTAAGGCTTCTATCGTGGAATTATGTAGGGCTTCCACATCAGCCCACCCAGACCCACCCAACCCCTAATAAAAGAGTAGGTGCCCCAAGAAGGGGATTGGTCACTCTTTCTTTCAGATGAGACCCCGCTTTGTACTTGCAACAGAAACACGCTTTAACGTGGATTGTCACGGAGCTCCTTCCGGTCGGAGTGTCACCTGGGGGGACGTGCCTTGAGGCTGCCTTGAGGTGTACGGGTTCGAGCTTATGCACCAAAGCGGTGTAGCCACACGAGCCCCGGGTCGAACAATTCCGGGCGGATGTTTTCTACGACATCCCTTCTGATGCAACATCCTCTTTGGGTGCCTTCGATATCTGCGAACATATTGATGCTGGTTCCAGGCCGGTGATGCTGCTGAGCACAACCTGCACCACAGCGTGTGGCTGATGCTTCAATGCTTCTTAAGCTACAACAGAAACAGAGCCTCCCTATACCCACGCCTTGCAAGCTATCCGAAGACATTTACTAATCTGTAAGATGTCCAGGATCAAGACGATGCTGAAGCATCCACTGGTCACATCGCCCGGTTTGCCGCAGCAGCCTCGGCCCACCTGCTGTGACTTTCAGGGATCGCAGTGAGAAAGAGGGTGAAGGTAGCAGCTATATAATCCGTATAGTTATAGACATCACATCATAGAAGTACCTCCGCTCCTGCAAAGCTCTGGCTCTAAGGCGTGCCATCACCTCTTAGAGAAAGTGCTCTGCTCTGCAGCCCCAAGGCCGCAGCTGCTCCAGCAGATTCAGCAGAGGGTGCAGCAGTCTTACAGCGAGGCCAGATGCTCAGACAAGGGCTTTGCTGCACTGCTAGGACTCAATGTGCCCGCAGCCTGCCTGGAGCCCCGATCCCAGCAGCGAGGAAATCCGGGTGCCCATGGCCCGCCGCGAGAGCGGGCAAACGTGCCCGGGCTGCCTCTCGTCCTGTCAGCGTAAAAGCATTGGTATACAGTGTCTTTGCATCAAGGACGTCTCTGCCAAGTTAATTCCGGGAGGAGTGAAAGGGGAAACTGCATGGTTTCAGGTGGGAACACCTACGCCGACGATTCCAATTTCTGTCGGCGCTGCGGGCTTAAGCGGAGCCAGGCCATTCGGGGTGCAAGCGTAGAGGCAAAGGACAGGGAATGTCAGCATAAGCCGCTTTGGGAGCTACATGTAAGGCCCTTTTCTCACTTTCCGGACTCGGGCTCTGCAGTGCTTGTCCAGCCCAGCAGGCTCCCATTTTCCAGCCGCCTTCTCCGGTAATATCTGGATCAAGGCCGGGACAGCGACGAACGGCCTTGCAATCGATATCTGCGCTCACGGTAGGATTCAGCATGTCACAATGTTTGGAGCACCAGTTTGAATCGAAGGAGAGCTAGCTTTCAGCTGTTCCAACTCGCTTGCCCAGGTTCGTTTCATGGGTAGTAGTCGTCGTCGTAGTAGTAGTAGTAGTAGTAGTAGTAGTAGTAGTAGTAGTAGTAGTAGAGTAGCAGAGTAGTAGAGTAGTATAGTAGTATAGTAGTATAGGAGGATAGGAGGATAGGAGGATAGGAGGATAGGAGGATAGGAGGATAGGAGGATAGGAGGAGGAGGAGGAGGAGGAGGAGGAGGAGGAGGACGGGGGGCCGAGGAGGCGGGGGACCATTCTCTGGATTCAGCCGTCTGCAATCTATTCCCGCCTAAAACGAAGCAGGGATCGTGCCCTTGAATGAACAACACCGTGCTTCAGGACACCTATTGGCGGTCTACCCGGCATTGTTGGAGCGGTCCGTTTTGCAGGTGTCTTCCTGAAGGAAATTAGACTGCGTCAGTCGCATGAGCCATGATCCGAGAACTGCAGCCGTTCCATTCTAGCATACAAGTCATTCTTGCATGTCTGAGCAAGCCGCATTGTCCGAGCCCGAATCCTTAACCAGCGTGGGGAACGTGGCCGAGAGAGGTGAGGAATCCATGCTCAGGGCAAGCCTAAACATGCACATAAAGACTTGCTGTTGGGGCATGAGGTCCCCCAACCCCCATAACCCGCAGAAGGCCGCCAGAAAGCCTTAATCGCGAGATCTCTGTTTTGACGTGCTCGTCTAAGTCGGTCTGCTAGCGCAGCAACATCTCGCCATGAGCAGTCCGGGATCTCCTGTGCTCCTCGGCCGAAGCTCTATCTGAAGAAGTACCTATATACTATTCCTTAAGGTTCACAATGGGGTTATGATGGGTTATGCCCCAAAACCTTATCCTAATCATTAAGTTTGGGTGTTGGGGGGCGTAGAGATAGGGGGAAACTGCTCACACAAGCTCTGTGTGCCCCGTCTCTCTCTCTCTCTCTCTCTCTCTCTCTCTGTGTATATATATATATATACATATACTTCAAGTCGATCGTGCTCCTCACACTGCACCGGTTTGTGGAATACTCCGAGCTGTAAAGTCGAAGTCCTCTCGTCCCGAGCCCCAGAGCTGCCTGAAGCCAAACCCTGAATCCCAACGAAGGCCTTTACAGCCTTGAAACCTTGACCCTCAAGGCCCTGTTAAGCCCTAAACAAAGACGTAACTCACATCGCCCATCCCCACAGCCCCCGGAAGGCCCTTGATACCGAAGAGTCAAACATTACGGTTAGTTTTGCTGTTGAAGGCCATACTTCAACCCTCGAATGCCGAATGCCCCTGAGGGAGTCCTCCCCACGCAAGCGGCGTCGTGGAGCTGGCGAGGACTCGGATTGGGCCGGCTCTTGAGAGCTCAAGCAACTAAAGCCTATGGTGTCGGGAAGCTTGTCCAGTTATGTAGTTCGAGATTCAAGATTCAGGTATTGATTCCGGGCCGTGGGCTTGCAAGTTTGGTTTATAGTTTATGTCTGATTGCACGGCAAAGTGGGTACTCCTATGCCAACGCAGGGTTGAGATGTGGTACCGCGATTTGATATCATTTGATATCCAGCTCCTGCGCTACACCACACTAAACTTCTTGCAGGACCCTGCAAGCCATGCGCACAGCACGGACGAAGAGGCCGGAATGCCTAAGTTTCAAGGGGTAGGCTTGTAAAGGGTTTCGCTGGAGATGCGATTGAATGGGACGGAAAGCAAGCTGTTCACCATTGTTCACCCAGTGGACTGCCAGAAGCCCATATATTGCCAAACACCAGACTGCAGATTCATCGACGCTTCAAAACATTCTCACTGACCACAGGAAGAGGGTCCGTACGAGCCCGTGATAGTGGATGAGGTCCTCCATGAGGAGATGATCTGTCCAGAAAGCTACATCCCATATCATGCGGGTTTAGCATTGTGGCGTTAGGACTGTTATAGACTTCGGCATTCACACTGCAAGACATAGTCGCTGCCTGCAGCATGACCGGACAACAATGCCCAGCAGACCCATCGTGGAGTGCCTGCCTGTGAAGTGCACAGGAGCAGACGGAGTACCAGCATCTCCTGGTTTTCTGCAGCCATCACTACGGCAGCTTGGACGACACTCAGGGCATGGTGCTGGTGAATTAGCGTGTAATCTTGGCTCCCAACCTTGAGAGGCTTCCCAGCACGCCCACTTCATGAGCACACCTGGGGAAATCGGATGCCGCTGTTGTTCTGCGACCCCAATTGTAAAGTTCTATTGCCCCAAGGATCCCCAATGCCTTTCAGGTCGCTGTCTGTCGCTGGATGGAGTTCTCCAGTCGACAGAGTCTTGGCCAACATGTCTACAGGCATAGGGGCTCGGGCTCAGGATCCAGTTTGTGCTCAAGCGCATGATAAGGTCCACTTGAGTTTGCTTAATTTGAGGCTACAGTGCCTTCTAAACCCAGCAAGCCTCCAAGCTTCGCAGATCCTGCATGTAGCATGGCCATGTGTCTGGCAGCTGTTGTCCCGTGCTCCTCCACTACTCTCCCTGCTGTGACAAGATGCTGAGGAGAAGGACGAACATATTTACCACGAACATCTTGTTCACGCACCCCTTCTCCTTTGCCCCTCGCCAGAGCGGGAAGCTCAACTCAAGCTTTGGACTGCTTCAGGTTGCTCTAATTAGGCGTAGCGTTCAAGATGGCCTTTCGCGAGGACCTTCTGGCCAATCCAACTCTGCACTTGGAGGTTTCGAAGATTGCTATTGCCTTCATGGTCTGGTGGGGGCAGAGGTCAGCATGCATTTGTTATGAAACTAACGGTCGTGGTGGTAGCATGCCATGGCGGTTCTGTTCGCCTGCGCGATGCATGCAGTTATAATCAGCATGCCAGAGGCATGTGGAGCAGCTATACATGAATCTGCCCTGCATCGTTTGATTCAGATCTTGTGGCTGGTAATCTCAATCGAAATCCCTCCTTTCATGGGATCGAAGCTTGTCGTTTCAGAAGTCTGCAGTGCAGGCCTTCAGTTTTCAACTCCCATGCTTCAAGTCCCGTGTTTTCAAGTCCTCGAAGTGAGGTTGGTGCAAACCCGAAGTTCCAAGGTCGCCATCTGCGGCGGAGGCAATGGTGGGGCCGCACGTGAAGCGCTGAAGCACGGCGCCGGGGCTCTCGGCTGCCCTCCTCCATGAGGGGAGACACATAAACATTACTATCATGCAACGGTGAGCGGTTCGATCTTTCTATGTACTTTTTATGCGTATGCTTCCGTATGCATGCATGCAATGACTGATGGCATGTGTGCATCTATGTGTTTGTGGCATGCCCTGGCATATATTAGGCAGCCCGACAGCTTTGCAAGAACGTCTCGCAACTTCCTTCGAAGGGACCATGGTCACTTTTCGCGACGTGAGCAAGCTCAAAGCGCAGGGTTTGGAACCATTTGCCCGGATACGACCGTGGTCTGATTCTCGCAACTGTACATGTATCTCCTCCAAATCCGGGACAATTTCCACTTGAGCTAGTTGTTCAAACCGACCTAGTGCACTCGAATCTGCATTTACAAGATGTGACATGAATACCATGTCTGAAGAGTAGCTGAGTAGCGTGCTGTCGACGGTAGTTCTTACGGCACTCGCAGCCGTGTGCTTTGAGGTCGCGGAGGTTTACATCATAGACATCGATCCAAGCGTCGGCAGAGCCGTGCGCAGGCTGCGGGGCTTCGCAAGTTGTAGAGCTACCATTGTTTAGTTTGGGTGGCTGCATTGGATGATGAGGAACCCGCTATACAGCCAGCCTCAACTTTGCAGCTGTGGATGCATTGGTTATAGCTCTTCGTTCCGTCTGACTTCAGGCCTGTACAAGGTCTTTAGTGCACGTGATGGGACGCTCCAGAAAACTTGAGGGTGTGAGAGAGAGAGAGAGAGAGAGAACGGAGCTCGCTTCGTAGCCGTTATCTCCAAGACCACCGGCAAAAATCCCAAGCTACGAGTAGAAAAAAGCTATACAATAATAGCGAATACTGTTGTGTTTTTGACCATGCTATTAACTAGAAAATGCTAGATTCCGGCCAGGGCCCGGGCAGCTTGGCTTCTGAATGAAGGAAACATCCACGGAAATCTAGACGACGGCTTGCACAGGAAATGCAAACAGTTCCAAGATTCCAGCTTTAAACAAGACTTCGAGCCGTGAGCCGACTCAGTTCTCAGGTTTAGTTTAGGGCTCCAAAGCAAGGCTTGGGTTTCGGGGCTCTCTTCAGATTCAAGAGGATGCCAGCAGGCCAGTTTACTGTAAGGCTCTTGTCTTCTTGACGAAAGCTTCGGCCCCCGAGAGCAACGTCGCCTTCGGTTTCTGGAGGTTTCTGCCTTCGCAGGGGACCTCACTCTTGCACCCCAAGGTTTCGGAAATCTCAGCGTCTTGGAAGCATTTAGCAGCTCAGCATGTTGGGATATGCTGGGGTCCGGTCGGTGTAGGTTGCAGTATTTTGGGCAAGGTCAGGTCCCATCGAGGACGTCTATAGTCTATAGAGTCTAGAGTTTGGCGGCATTTACTACCTGAACATAAGCTTGCTAACTTGGATTCGCTCAGGGCTCCTACATGAAAGGACGCTTGTTAAGCAAACAGGGCATTCATAGTGTCAGACCTTGAGCAAATGGCTTGTGCAGGTCCATTTTTTTGTGTTTAAAGGCTGCTTAAATCCAGACTTGCGCATGTGTTGCGACTCGGAAACTCAGAGTTCATTGCAGCTGAAAATGCGGACCTGCTCAAGCATCCTGCCCTTGAGCGGCTTACGCCTAGGCTTGACTTGTCAGGTTGACAAGCATCTACCGGTAGCTGTAGCTGTTTCAAGGTCCTGCCTACGCTGATCTCGGCCGGCTCTCTCAGTAGCGCGTTCAACAGATCCGCCATAAGTCCCGCCATCCCATGCGAGCGCAGCCGCTTTCAGTCAGAACAGGGAGGTGGTTCACAATTCGCTGAGCGAGGTCAGATTCCGATCTGTGCCTGAACGGTTTTGACGTGGTTGTTGCTTTAGATTGTACGGAGACGGACCGACTTCCGGAGACCCATAGGCCTGCCGCAGGGCCCCGAACAGCCCCAAGATCAGGAGCTTCAAGCACAAATCCCAAAACGGGCCTAGATGTTTAATTGAAATCCTCGAAAGACTCAGAAGTACTTGTAGGAATTGTCAAAACACTGATGATCAGTTGGACCGAATATTTAGAATCCGGCTGCTGAGGCAGACGCCTCCGACTTCCAAAGATGGCCGGAGGTAGGACCTGGGACCTGCTTTGCGCGGGATTTGGGGTTGTAGGTCTAGGGAGCAGGTCTGCTTGCATCTTCATCAAGACCAGCCATGGTGGAATTGGGGACGACGATGATCATGACTGTGATGGAGACGACGATCATGTTAGTGATGGTGGCGATGATAATGACGATGCTGAGTTGTTGACGATGAGGAGGAAGTTGAAGAAGAAGAAGAAGATTGCGACTACGAAGATGAGGAGGGGCAGGAGGAGGATCTGCACCAGGATGATAAGAAAGAAGCGATATACATCAACAAGCAAACTACGGATTCTATGTCATAGTGATGGTGAAGCATAAAGCCATACCCTAACCCTATCAGAACTCTGTTGTGACACCAACAGTACAGGACTGAGTGGCAGTAGTCGCGTTGAATGCACGCGCTTCGGATTTCTACAAGGCTTCAGGGTGCTAAGGGTTTGATGGCTTTTGGGGCCTTGAAGAAGGGATCTTGGTGCGAAAATCCAAAAGCACAGGGAAACACAATGTGGTATTGTAGATTTTGCCAGTCAGCTGTTCTTTGGCCTCCGAGCGGCCCTCGAAGTGCCGGGTGTTTAGGGAAGTTAGTAGTTCGCGTTTGTTGAGCATTTCGGGCTTGCAGGGGATCTAGGGAAGTTCAAGATCGCTTCGAAGTTTGGCCTCTCAGGGCCTGCCCTAAAGCCCTTGCCGCTGCCAGCAACCTTTGACACCAACGTCTCTTGTCAGGGCCACTTCGATGCTATCCTCGTGGACAGCACAGACATGGGGATGGCACAGGGCAGGACCGGTCTGTTTAGGGGGGGGGATTCTGCTGCGCAACGCCATGTCGCAAGTAAATGCCGAGAAATGCCGAATGTTCAAACAGCTTCAGTTCGCCTGAAACGAGGGCGACGGGTGGGACCAGCAGTCGTGCATCCGACAAAGAAGCGGTTTTGCACATGCAGAGTTCAAGGTTGGCTCGAGGAGTGCATGTAGGAACCCCTTCGGAATTATTCCGAGGAGCGATCACCTGTGGAGCACGAGCTTCTTTGCCGGCTGTGGGGCACTTTGTCCAGTTCGCTGGCTTCGTCAGTGACACCCTCCATATCGGACACGGATGGCGTCTAGCGCCAAGTGGTCCCGGATTGTAAGTGTGCACCCGAGCTCAGTGTCTCAGGTCTGCAGCGGCTCAAGCGCGGCGGAATACTTGCGACGCAGCTCGGCGCCTGCCTTCTGCCCCTTGGCCGCACCCTCGGTCTCACATCGTAATTGCCTGAATAATTGTTTGGCCTCGTCCGTCCTTGCAGCATCACTCCCTTGATCCTGATGCCTTCGATGTACCGTGTTTCGCGTGTCTTTCTCAGGCATTGCTTTGTCACTTCACCTTGTGCGTTCGTGCACGTTCCCATGCACGTTTCCCCAAAGACTCGAAACGGATTCAGGCGTCCGGATGGTTTAGCCTTGTCGCCTGCCGTTGCGGCGGGCCTGGGACGGCTCAAAGAGGCACGGCATCTTGAGGAGCTGAAGGTGTCACGTCTCTCAGGAATTGGAAGTCAGCCAGTGGAAAGCACTTCAAGTGAAGGTTTAGTGGGAGATGGAGGCCTCGAAGACACGAGCCAGTACACAGCACTTCAAAATTACATCCGCACAATTTCCAACTCTGTCGTTGCGTCCAGTTTGCAAGTTTGTAGGGTGTCTATAGGATTGAGGGAGGCCATCTGTGCATCCACACTGCTCATCCAACAATTGGGGAAGTGGCGCAGTTGGTGAGGTAGCTGAAGATCCCTGGTGTTAATGTACTGTCCGACCTGTAAGGTCAGATCGAGCCGAATGCGGTACTGTAGCAACAGATCCTGGTGCTTCACTATTCCGACCCAGTGGCACCACGAAAGGGTTGAAGTTCTGGCCAGTCTTCGCCTTGTGCCTAGTAGACGAGACTGCTCACTGCCGCAGGCCGGCTTCCAGATGGCCCGTGCCTACACAGCAGCACGGGCACCCAGCTTGCGTGCGGTTCTCGATTCATCCAAAAAAAATACGCTACACTACACCATCCGGCCCGCAACCCTTTTGCTCCGAAAGCTCAGGAGATCCCTTCGTACGGCGGCCTGGCAGTCTTCGGCATGGCTAGCAATGGGGCCAGCGAGTGCCTTGCTCAGATTCATGGGCTTTGGCCTCAGGACTCCGCAGGTTTCCGTCGTGAATGTCGGTGTTCAGCGGAGTGAGTAGAGAAGAGGCACACGACACTGCTGAGTCCGGAAGCACAGACAAGGTTAACCAAGAACTGTCGTGTACATCTGTGCTTGCGCAGGGGTGTAGACCTTGGTCCCATTGAGGCAGGAGTCCTGTTTTGCTCGGCTGGCGTCCGGCGGCTGCAGATTCGCAGGCTCTGTGTGTGTCCTGTTGACAAAGGGCACCAGGTTGCCAGCTGAATGACTATGACTGTTTGTACGGATCTTCTGCCCTCGTTTAGGTAAGGCTTGTTATCGAGCTGTACGTTTGTTTCTCATGGCCGTACGAGTACTCCCCGATTGAAGCGGGGATTGGAAACATCAGGCTCCACGGGCTCAGTGGCAGTCTGCGTGAAGGGTGATGTAGGCGTAACAAACACGAGCCTTTGTCTTTGCTCTGCCTGCAAACAAGCAGCAGCCCATCTGTTGTCCTCCTATTCCGGCAGCGTCAGTGTAATTTCGAGTTGGTGATTAGACAAAAAAGAAATTAGCTGTCATGCTGATAGTGCCAAGACCGGCAATGTGGGCTCGCATAAACATTGCTGATGTTCGCAGTGTCTTGCTTTTGCTTGTTCAACAGCCCAAACCCGTGCAACGGGACAAAAGTCGTATCGATGCCGAATCAGACCCCTACTGTACCAGAAACTCTCAATACTAGGCGGTTTGATGCCGGTTTGGGTTTACCGTGTTGCTTTGTAGTGTTTCAGAAGGGCTTCCTGTATGGGCTTTCGGGCTTGAGGTTGAGGGCTCGAGGGCTAAGGCTTGAGGAATTAAGGCTGAAGGTGTTGCAATGTCGGGCTGACGGCCAGGGTTTACGGTTTGGGGTTGAGAGTTTCAGGATTTGTCCAGGCTAAGTTTTAGGGCTGAGTGTTTGGGAGCGTTAATCGGTGTGAGTACAGCCGCAAGACGAAACCTTCGTTTACACGAGCCTTGCTCCTCGGAAGAAATTAGGACTTCAACTCTAAAGCACTCCGACAGGACGAGAAGTAAAAATGCCCGAAAGCGGCCACGGGACAGGTCCCAGACCTGCATAGGCCTGCCATGTCTTCCCTCAAGCCTCGCCTTGATGAGCTGCGAGGCAAAGGAGATGCTGCCGAGGCCAGCACTGCAAAGTGCGGGATGGGGCAGGAATCATGGGTCTAGCTTATAAGTTTACAGATTTCCGTGTGTCTGCCCGAGCTGAAAATGCTTAACATCCGTACATGCAAAAGCTTGCATACTTTCTGTTGAACACGGTTACTCTACGGCAGCTGGCAACACCAGCAAGCATTCACGCAAGTAATGCGTATCATGTCCGTCCGTCCCGCTTGAATGGCCGACACGTCACAGACATAGACGCAGGAGCTCGAACGCCATGCATACAACGCTTCTACAACGTGTTTGCTCAGGTTTCAGATGGATGCGCTACTGACATACACAACAACTGGATTAATCAGACCCATACCTCGTGCACCGACAAAAGCGAAAAATCTGGAAACTCGTGATTCCAAAACACAGGCCTGGGCCCGACAAACACTGGCCAAGGCGTCCAATGACCTACGGCTTCAAAAGCAACCCTGAAGCAAGAAAACCCTGTACACCCAAACATCAGACCCTAAACGTCTGTCCACGCATACAAAAACTAATTCAAGCCTCTGAGCACGAAGCCCTGTTCCAGGTCCCTCCATGGAGGTCGCACGCCGCAGCACGAGGCCTTGAAGGACAACTGAAAGCGGGCTTGGCAAGCATCTGATCCATGTCGAGATACTGAGAATAGCCATCGTCATCATTTGCGTTGTCGTCGTCTCGGTGGTGGTAGTAGTAGTAGTAGTAGCAGTAGTAGTAGTAGTAGTCGTCGTCGTCGTCGTAGTAGTCGTAGTAGTCGTAGTAGTCGTAGTAGTAGCAGTAGTAGCAGTAGTAGTAGTCGTCGTGAGTGGTGGTAGCAGCGGTCAGGGTAAGAGTAAGATGAAGTCTAAGATAACGAGCAATGTCCAGTGTCAGAGAGCGAGCAAGAGTTGGACCAAGAGAAAGAGGTATAGCAGAGTCACAGTGAGAGTGAGAGAAAGAGTCAGTCGTCAGGGAGTCGTCGTCTTCGTAAGAGTACACGCAGTAGGAAACTGTAAGGATGACAGGTAGTAATTAGCCGATCTTAGAGTACTTTGTGGTTTGCTTATTTGGGGGTTTGTGTCGTGCCATACATGTCTCTCCGGAACCATTTGACATTTCTCAGGAACCATATCACAAGTGTTGAGGTACCTTGCGATCGCACAAGTGTGATATCAACAACGGCTCCGGGGAAAATTTCAGGAACGGTCTGGAACGGTTTCGAATGGTTCCTACGGTTCAGCGTGGTCGTGGATGCATCTCAGGAACGGTTCGGAACGGTTTGGAACGGTTTACAACGGTTCCGAACGGCTTTGCGCGGTTGGACATAGTTGCTTAAAGAGTTCATCCTTCAAAGTTTTTGAGACCCTGCAAATAGTTTCTGAGATTGTCATTATAGGTTCTGAGATTCCCACAATAGTCTCCGGGGCCCTTTGGCCCCCAACACACAAACAAACCACCAAGTACAACAAAGCCGATCATACACAGGGAAGTCAAGACCGTTTCAGTGATGATGCGGAGCTTGGGGCAGCTCCCTCGGGTTCATAGGCGTGGTGCCGCAGTCCCGTTGCAGTTCTCGCTCAGATTTTCAGACCCCAACAAGTCGACAACCCGTGAAAGGAGTGGTGGATTCAATCGAAGCCGCCTTCAATTTGCCTGTGGGAATCTCAGGCTGTGCAAGATTGAAGGGTTTTGCAGCGAGGGGAGGTTGGATTGATACGGCGAGCTCGTTTTAGAATTATTGCGCAATTTGTCAAATTTGCTGTCTCGTGTGCAGCATCATCCAAGAGGCAGTCCACGACTCGGCATTGCCCTGATGTTGCTTGAGAAGCATCCAGATTGCGCCGAAAAGCGGTGGTTCGAGCTAGCCGGGTCCAGAATCCCAGAAAACAGAGCCCCAAGCACGATGATACCTCGTTTGAGCTACGTCTGACGGCCAGGAAGCGGGCAAAGATGTCTTGATTTAGTTTCGTTTGGGACGGGTTCAGGATTTTATGGTTGGCTGCAGGCGCCCGAATCCCAGAACAGCAAAGCAGCCTGCCTCGTGAAAGTGATTATGCCGGAGAAGCAAGGCAGCACTTGCTGCAGCCATCGACGCGGATGCAGATGCTGATGCCTCTGGACCAGCCCAGGAAGCGGAAAATCGCACGCAGTCTTCAGAACAAGATCGGCAGGAGAAAAAGGTGCAAGCAGCAAAGGAGGCTTTGCGCCCTCTTTCTCTTGCACTCTATGATTTTGGGATGTCATCATGCCCTCGCTTGTTCAGTTGTTCATACCTCGATACCGGGCATGCTAACTCACGACCTAGTTTTCACCTCTGAAAGGGACCGGAGTGTCAAGATCCATTGTTCTGATACAACCATGGTCATGGTTCTGGGGGGGTGGCTCTAGGATTCACAGCTGTGTCTCCACAAACTGTTGCATGGCATGGCACAGTGGCCCCGTGTTACCTCTGTCAACACGAGGGCCTCATGTAAGTGAATCTGCGAGATAAGACTTCGTAGGATGAGCCGAACCTCCAGAAGTGTAGCCGCGTCCACACGAGCCAGCCCTCGATGCCAACGAGCTGCCAGGTGTGAACTACGCAGGCTCGGATCGCGGTCGTGGACCCTCGTACAGTGGCAGCTACGCGCCGGAGGTCAGTCCCGAAGGCGGCTGGCATTACGGGCTTTGGATGGCGAACTTTCTGGGATGCCGAGTAGAGAAGCATCTCTGCTTTCGGGTCATGAGCACGTACCTGTACAACAGGCCACGGCTACACTCCGCAGGGTGCCCGTACCTCAGAGCGCCAACAACCTGACGGAGGAAAGCAGCTTCCCTCAGCGTAGCACCGACTCCCGTCTCTGAGGCCATTCGCCGGCCTATGCCGGAGGTGTTTCTTTGAGATAGTCTAGTGCGCGCTTATCGCTGCCAACTTCGTTGGCGGCACCCACCAGATTAAACCCTAAGACAGCGGCACTGTTGTCCACATGTTTGAGGGTGTTTGTGTTATTTATCCACCTTTGTGCCGGCATTTTCTTCTACATCTGTCGATGTCTGCTGATTCCGCGCAGCATGGAGCTCCAGTGCGGTGGGCAGAGGCGGAGTTGCCTCATGTGTTGAACACAGACTTCCCAAGAGTGCAGCAGAATGACTGCATCTCTCATTGGCGACAAAGTGGCGCCATTTCCTTTCACGGCCTCTGACCAAAGAATGTCAAGGGCCGAAAGGGACACTAACAATCGAAGCTGCTGCCAGATGAGCGCAACTCCCGGCGCAGCGAATTTGTCTCAGGTCCTTAACATTGCAGGGCATGGTACGTGCTTGAATATTCTCTTGGAAAAATAAAATTTGTCTTGAAAATATTACATGTTTCCCGCCCCTTCAGAATATATCACGAAGGATGCTACAGATAAGGTGTGTGGGGTGACATTGCGCAGGTGCCGCCAGCAGTGGCACGCGCAATTGTGGCCGGCAGCTCAGACTGCACCGTTTCAAAGCTCGGCGTTTCTGAAGCATAGCATTATCTAGTGAAAAAGGCTTCGACGTTGTACCCTGACGGTAAACCTCGAAAACTAAGGCCAAGCAGAATAATCTAGTAATCTAGTTAGATTTCAACCGCACATCTCGAGCACATCCCAGTTAGAACAACCTTGATGCAGGGCTACAGCTGTGGCGTGTCGCGCCCGTTTGCCGACTGCACGCCTAGCGAAGCTCGCACCGCCCGGCACCCATTGCAGATGCGCCTCCTCTGGCTGCTGATGCACAATCGCTGTTGTGAACAAACTTAATTTTGCTGGCGTCGTCGTTGTTGTTGTTGGTGGTGGTCGTGTTGGTGTTGGTGTTGGTGTTGGTGTTGGTGTTGGTGTTGGTGTTGGTGTTGGTGTTGGTGTTGGTGTTGGTGTTGGTGGTGTTGTGGTTGGTGGTGGTGGTGGTGGTGGTGGTGGTGGTGGTGGTGGTGGTGGTGGTGGTGGTGGTGGTGGTGGTGGTGGTGGTGGTGGTGGTGGTGGTGTTTCTGTTGGGTTGGTGTTGCTGTTTTTGTTGCTGCTGCTTCTCCTCCTTTTGCCTGTTGAACATTTTCGTGCGCGATTATGATATGCGTATTTCTATTCCGAGCAGCATGTGTATTGCTTCATCAGTGCTGCTATGTGGCTCGACAGTCTTATCACATTAGGTCAGGTAAGCTTCAACCCCTCATGATGGATGCTGTTTGGTTCTGGTCAGGACTCTGGTTGTGACCGGAATGCAGGCATGCACCGCGCGGAGATACAGAAATGGTGTTCTTTGCCCCAAGCTTTTCATTCCAAATTTGCCGACTTAGACGAAGAGCCCAGTTACTGTTTGCTTTGTCTGCACATGGAAGTGGTTCTATAATTGGACTCCCATGCAGATAGTAACGGAACTATAGCAGCTCGTAGCTGTACCGGCAAGGTGTGTCCTCCGGGACCGAGCCTTGTTTCTGTTGGACCCTTAGCCCTGCATGCCCCAGTTCCCGAACTCCAAGGCATGGGCACTGCTGCAGACGGGCGCGTTGCCCGGTGAAGCAGCCGATGAGGTGCGCTGCACGGAGCTCCAGCAAGTCTTTGGGGTTTGGGATAGCAGCAGATCCCCTTTTTTGGCAGAAGTGGAGCACGACGCCCGGAAGCGTGAGATGCTTTCGGTGAGTCCTGCACCTGCAAAACCCCCCAACTTTGGATGTTGGAGTTTTGATCTCCATGTACTCTAGTTCAGCCAGGGAGACGTGGACTACAGCGAGTATGTTCCCGAGTCCCCGAAGCGAGAGCGACCCCGCAACGAGAAGGAGGAGCCAGGCGGGCTGCTGTCTTGGCGGCTTCGGGGTCGAAACCTGTGGTATTTTTGTGGTCAAAAGACTCTGCTTGAGACGGCTGCTGCCTGGGGCCTGGGGTTGGTGTGTTCTTGACGTCTGCAATGCACCTGCGCGTTACGTGAAGCCTTGTTTCTGCAGGGCTTGCCCGGGGCTTCTCAGCCTCAGCTCTGCTTCCTTTGGCCATGGTTGGTCCGCGGCTCATGGCTCGGGCACAACGGAAGAAGTTGCTAGGGCCTTGAATTGCCAAGGGCTCAAAGCCTCTTCCAACGCTGATCCAGAGAATCCAGAGAGCTGGGATAGCTGAAATGAAATATCTCCTGGCCCGAGGGTCCCGCAAAGCGCAGAGATCGTCAAATTTCTACCCTGTCGGGGAGCTTATACCCCAAAGGCAGGATCCTTGTGTGTGATGACGCACTCCCGGATCCTACAAACCTGAACACTGTCCCAATCTGTTCGCTCGTTGGTGTGGGCGCAGAGGATTCACAGCTTGATTTCAGGCAACATTCGCAGCCTGCTGCAGCAACGGACAGATGTTTGAAGTTTGGAGTTTGGACCTCAACAAAGGCAAACAAGAAAGCTAAGCTCCAGACTCAGATGCCTCAAACATCAGGTGCTTCAATGGCAGCCTACCGGCCTGCTTCCGCCCCAGCTGTGATGGTTGAACTCTTTATGTGCAGGTAGTTGAATGCAAATTAACGATGTGGTCTAGCTTTTGTGATCTGGTGCTTCGACCACCGATGTGGAGGGTTTCTGGCCTGTGCTCCAGGCTGTCCTGGGGTTTCGATACTCGGGTAATTTTGAGGCAATGGAGAAAACGATGAATATGGAGAAGCGGACGAAACCTGCCCAGCGGCGTGCATAATGCCAGGGAGCAGGGGCAGCAGAAGTGCAAAGGAAAGCTGCTTGTGAAAATGGTGTGATGCTTAAGAAGCCTTCATCGTTTACAACGTTTGAGCTGGCTACGAGACCCCCCGAAGCCAAGAACTTGACATGCAGGATAGAGGCAACCTCCCTAAACCCCAACACCGAATACAGAATCACAGGTTTGGGATTTCAACATGGAGACGGGAGGTTTCTTCATGGACGACGTCATGATTCGCAGGTCTGGTGCACGACCCTCGTTTCATGATCGGCTCCGGGCTGACATTTGCCAATCAAGAGAAATCGGTTCACCGAGCTTCGACAAAGCTTGCCCTGCAGTGGCCCGTTTTGACCCGGAAGCATGTTCAACACCTGGAGCTGCAAGCTCGAAGCTGAACATGTCGGAAGTCGGAATAATATTGACTTCGTAGCTGGAGAGGAATTCGGTGGTTGTCGACACCACGCTGGATCTGCGAAGGCGCACTGGTTCGGGGTTTCTGGGCGCTTCGGGTTTCGGTTAAATCGGGAGTGCAGTCTTCAGGATGCGGGGAGCCGGTCAATATTTTTTTTGTGAGGATGTGATGGTGCATGATTTAAGCATGCTTCAAATTTCCAAAACCAGCTGCGGAGCCTTGGGGATCGCAGAGTGGATGCTTCGTAGCATCTGGTCGACAGCAGTTTGTGGCCCTTTCTAGCTTCAGGGCTTGAGACCTTTGCGACATTGCGATGCTTGTGTGTGTGTGTATACATGCGTATACGTATATGGCTTCGTCTGCACGTGTAAGTTTCACATGTATATGTCTTGCATTGCACTGCAAAGTTGTGTGCTTTACTGAACTGGTGTGTTACATTGCATTATGTTGTAGCGCAGCAGTGACGGATGGCTGGATGGAGGTATGCAGCTGTGTAGCTATGTAGCTGCTTATCTGCACGACGTTTATTCTATTACATAATGTGACGTAACCTTATGATATGCTGCGCTATGTCATGATATGTGTGGGATGTTACGCCACATTAGATTATGCCATGTCGGGCTAAGTTGTGCTCTGTATGTATAGATGTCCTCATGTTGTATGCCTGCGAGTATGCATGTAACCGTTCATGCACACATGCATCCTTGTTGCAACAGCACATAGTTAGGTAACCAAGGCAGCTGGGTAGCAAGGCGTCTAGGCCAGTCACTACACAAGTACGTAGGTGGTAGCCGAATCAGTGGGCAGGTAGCAGAAGAAGCTGCTAGGGCCTATAGGTAGCCGAACAACCTAAATACGTAGAGTTTGCTAGGTATAAGGCAGGCAGGCAGGTAGGCTGGTAAGTAGGCAAGTCTGGTTGGGCGCTTGTTTGGTTGTTTCATTGTTTGTAGCATGAAGTACGGTGTGACACTAGAACCACACACAACTATCTATATACATACATATATATATATATACAAGTGTATATATATATATACACATGTGTACATATAAAGAGCAACAATGCAATGAATCCTAGTTCCAGTGCGATCCAAGTCCTCAGCAGTCAGACGCGAGCATCCGTGATTCTGAATCAGTGTAGGCTCTGGACGACTGACTACTGGGGCTTGGAGATGTTTGACCCCAATACCTGGACTCACAAGTGCCGAGCTCGGTCAGTGTGGGAATGGTGTAGGGGTACGTTCAGAGTCGTGGGATTCGTGGCTTGGGATGTGATTTCTTCAATTTGGACAGTTTTCGGTGACTAGGGTATCGTGATCAGAGATTTGGTGCTGTGTGCTTTCGTGCGCAGAAGTGCCGCATGTCGAAGGTGCACTTCGGGGCATGACAGCCTCATGTTTTAGGATTGTCGGCTCCTAGCCAGCGCTAACGATCGTTTGCAAATCGCGGCAGACGCCTCTTGGAGACTTTCTTCAGTTGTATGGGTACTTCACACGGGACCGGATCTCATACCGGAAGCGGCCAGCATAGCCCGGCAGCCCAGCTTTCAGGTCCTTCCGGCCGCTGACGGTGCTCACATTCCGGTCTCTTCCTAAGAGCTCAAAGGTCTCCGGGTTTCGCATGTTGGGCTCCGCATCCCAAATGTGATATAAAGGATCACAGACACTTCGGACTACCTTGCCTTGTTGTACCTCCCATGAGGGCTTCTGCGCTTCAAGGTCGAGGGCACGCGGGTGTCACCGGGTGACTGGTGCGGGGTTTTCTGTCGCGCAGGAGCTAGAAATTCAGTAAGCCGTAGGCCTGAGCTCGGACGTCAAGCTCTGGATGCGCCCAGGGCATAGACATCCTGAACCCAAGAATGGAGGTCCACGAAAAGGGTCCAGGGCTTGTCGGATGCAAGCTGCCTAAGCCTTGATGACTTGATGGTCCTTATGATTGCCCTATACAGCTGAGGTGGAATTACTGGGCACATGGCTTCGGCAATTGTGGCTTTCACCTGACCAATGCTACATGGCTGCGATGGCATCGTTTCGAGCCGGTGTCGGGAGACCGAATCCCGGAAACATGCAGCTATGTAGACGTGCTTCTCGAGGCCATCCTCTTTGCAGGTCTGGGCGGCACTACTCGGGGATCTAAAGATGCCGAATTGACGCGGTTCGACTGTTCGGTCCCCTTGCTTGAGGCCTTGCTGCATGGCCTTTGCTCCCTGCAGCTCGCGATCTTTGGCCGACAGGCGAAGCTAGCATCACTCCCAAGTTCCGGCTCCCTTTTGCCAGAGGGTTTTCGAGCGTATATAGCTGGCACAAGTCAGGAGCATGCCTTTCGCCTGAAGGGATCTCGGAGTCCTCGTTCAGAAGCTCATCGTGAACGCAGTCGTAGTCATGATGCCGATGATGGTGGAAGGAGGGAGAATGGGGATAAAGCTTACCGTGACTCTGAAGATGTACCTGACCATGTGAATGATGATGTGCCTGGCGATGACACAAGGGCAGATTGATGAACACGAAACTCTGCGTGATCCGTCGCTACTGAGTGTGCATAGCCGGTGCAGTGCCTTCCGAGGCGGGCTTTGGACCCGTATGTCATGCGGAGCAAGAGCTACTGCGTTTAAAAAAGAAGGGATCTCGGATTTCAGAAGCGCCCTGGGCCTTGAAATCCTGGATTTTCCTGCTTAGCTAGTCCATGGCCAAACCTGACCCAAGCTGTCCCAGACCCGAAGACCGAAGACCTCCCTCTTTGAAAGGCCTGTGGACTCCCCTGGGCCTGGGCCGCGCACGGGGCCCGGCCCGGCCAACCCTCTGCTTCTGCTCACGGCAGAAAGAAGCGTCCTGCGTGTTGTCGTCATCGCCATCGTCATCATCCTCCCTGATCGTCATCATGGTCGGCTGCACCATCGTCATCCTCATCACATTGTCCCTTATTGCACATCGCCGTTGCATCGACATCGTCATCGTCACCATCACGATCAACATGACCATCAGCACCTTCAGAAAGACAAGATCGAATCCGGGAGTCTGCCAACCTCGCCATCTACACATTTCCCCACGGACGCAGCCAGAATCGCACCCTGCTAAAGACGGGACATGCCTCCAACACATGGGTTGCTTGGATTCGGCCTCGTACGCTGTCTATAGGGGGAGGCTTGGCCCAGTTAGTCTTGTGGGCCCAGGCTGTCGTTTTGTTAGGGCGGGTGCAAATTGCGCAGGCCTGCAACCAGGACGCTACCGTTCCCATCCCGAATCTCGCTTCGCTTCGTGGCAGTGGTCCTCGAATGTCTAAGGCTCTTGGCAGCCCTGTGCGCGCCCCGCAGTGTTGTTCTTGGGTGTTCACTGGTGCAACTACGGGTTCCTCGAGGTCAGTTGATGGTCTGCCTGCCTTCTGCACGATCGGACCTGGTTTGATGCATAACCGGAAGTTGTTGGCACTAGATGGTGCAGCGTGTAGTAGGACCCTAGGAGAGTTCACTGGCTCTCGTCTCTCGGACCGGAGGCCTCTGGTCGAGTTTCGGTCAGGGAAGCAAACAAGGACTCTAAGACTTCGGCTTCAGACATGCCCCCGCCATTTAAGCCTGAGTGCCTACCAGTACGGTGATCCGCCAGTTCTCCGGGTTGGAGGTGTCTTCCACGCTTCAGAGTAGTCGTAGCTTTTCTTTATAGGGTTGTTGGGGGTCCGAGGAGATTAGGAGGGTCCAGAGAGTCGTTCATCCAGCAGAAGGATTCTGGAGTTCCAAACCCTCTCGGCACAGAAGGCCCACTCACCTGGACCATAATTCCGCAAAAAGCCACATGCCCCTGTGCTGAGCCCAGCTCCCGAAACACAGGTTTGCCACTCATCCGGTGCACACCGAGAGCATCTGTTACGTGGTCGGCCGGGCTGACATCGTCTGTGCACAGGTGCTATTTGGTCAGGTTGAGCCTTGCAAAGGTTAGGCCGAAATCCCAAATGCATAAAACACGTCATTAAGAAGCTGGCCCCTGAAGCCCGCCACAGGCGTCATCACGCAGCAGCTCATTATCTTTCAACTCCAAAAAGTGCTTGCCGTCAGGAATGTTGCTGAAGCATCAGTTGTGCGCATTCATGGGAGCCCGGCAAAGAGTGGTGCACAACCCACTTTTGCAAGCAGACGAACACCGGTGATATTTCAATTCCTTTGCCTTGCACAGACGACACTGCCGCAGATGTCTGGGAATCCCCTTATGGATTTTGAGCGCAAGATTCAACCGAATCTGCTGTGAATCCTTGACCCCATGCTTCCAGTTTTCAGCCTCTGAACGGTTGTTCAAACGGTTCTTTTCACGGGAGTGGCTGTGTTTGATCACTGAACTTGCAGGTGCTCTTCCTGGCAACCCAGCTTAGCTGGCCATGTTTTGCTTGGGCTTCTGGTTCACTCGGGCTGAAGTTCGCTGCGATCATCTGTGGGCTGCAGTGGGATCTGATCAGGAATCCGGGGTTTGCCGGGGCTTGAAGCTGCGTCCCATGCGAAGCCAGGCTTTATGCACCCCTCTCCAGTGACAGCAGCCTGTCCCAAAGTAAGGCCTGCGCCTCAGCACCGGAAGGTATGGTTTTGTGTTTATAGGCATTTGTAGGCTTTCTGGAGGCTCTCAATTCCCGAAGGACTTGATGACTCCGATCAGTCAACGAAAGGGCGGGACTCGGATGTTCCAGAGACCAACTCAGGCCTTTGGGTCTTACGATTCCCGTCCCTGTCATGCCCCCCTTGACTTCACGAGGCTGTTCATCATTCAAATGAGCCTGTAGCAGCACCCCCCAAATGGCTTGGTTTGGCATTTGGTGTCTAGTTCAGACGCTTAGGATCTAGAAATGTTTAGGGTAGTGGGATGTGTAGGGTTTAGTAGGGTTAGGTGAGTTTAAGGTTTAGGGTTTGGGGTCTAGGCTTTATGGTTCAAGGAGACTCTGAGCAGCATGTTTTGGGTGTTCTACATGTTTCTGGCACATACTGCACTTCCAAATGTGGGCCCGAAGCACTGTCCTTATCACTCTTAAGCTGTCAGCCCCAACATGTCGTACTGGTTTTGTGGTTCTTCGTATCCACATGGTTCCTTCAGCCTTGAGACTTATTCTGTTGGCGGACAGGACTGCGCATGTAAGCCCTAAGATACTCTGTCCCGTGATCGTGAAGGCATGGCTGCGTCTACTTTTTGCCTGCCTGTTGGTGGTCACGGCAGGCCTCTGCAAGGAGACCGAAGTTGGCTGTCAAGGTTTCGATTTCTTCCCTAAGCCTCTAAGCACAGTGTTGTGCTCTGGGCAAAGTTGAGAGGCCCGAGGTTGGAAACTAATTTCAACTTGATTTCCTGTGCCATGGAGCTCCCAAGTTGTAGATGGAAGGATAGTGGCAAGCCCAGATATGTCTGCCCGAATGTTCCGTGGTGGTTCCAATGAAGGCATTTTTTTAATCCTACGTCAGCCAATTCAGTAGCAGCAGCACCGCCAACACAGCGATGACGGAAATCACTACCACCTGCCAGTATTTGTAGGAGCGGCGGCGGGTGTTGGCGCTGGTGCTGCTGCCGCTGCTGCTACTGCTGCTGCTGGTGCTGGTGGTTTTGGTGGTGGTGGAGGTGCTGCTGCTGCTGGCGGCGGTGGCGGCGGCGGCGGTCGCAGAAGCAGTTCTAGTATTTGCACTTGCACCTGTAGCCAGCAGCATTACTACTAGTCAGGCAGGTTCCAAGTTCTTGTATCACGATACTATACAGCCACTAACACATACGTTCTGCCCAAAGCTGGCACAGCCTGAAGACGTGGAGAATTCCCAAAAGGCCTGTCCCGAGAAACAAACTTGTTGCAAAGCTTGAGAAGACCGTAAATATGCCATACGAAGCTTTTCGGAAGAAGAAGGCCATCCCTGGATTCAGGAATTTAGATCCACGGGCCATGTGCTAGCACAGGAGGGTCGGAAGTCAAGTGCCTAGAGAACTGTTTTTCAAGAACCGCGTACGGCCTCGCTTTGCGAGGAGACAGGCTTCACTTTCTTTGGCTTCCTAGTAATTTGGGAGGCCGGAGTCCTACCTGAGAAGACGCAGCATAGACCTGACTTCGAAGCGTTGCGGAGTCTAGAGCTCGCCGTACGGAGTTCGGGTCGAAGTTGGTTCAGTTTCGAGTGGTGCAGATTCAGAAAGCTCCATCCTCCGCTACCCGACTCCACCCACGGAGAATCGCCACTCAGGTCCTGGCCCTCTTGCGAGGTCGACTGGGTGGCTCAGCCGTGCTTGACAGAACGTGGTTTGGGCGTGGTGGCTAGGAGTCGGGGCAAGAGAGGGCTAGTGTTCGCATTCAAGCAACCTAAGTACTGTCCTCGGTGCTTCCATCTTTCAGACTTTGAGCGGTTGAAGCTCCGGCGTCACGACATTCGTGCACTGAGAGACGATGCATGCAACCAGCCTCATGAGGGCAGCGCGCTCTTGAACAGTCCTGTAAGGTAATCAGGTTCTGCAACAGCTGCAAGACCTGAGCTCCAGACTGCTCCAAGCCCCAAGCTCTACTTTCCCATTCTCTTCGAAAAGGTTGTGGTTTGCAGCGGCTCTTGCGTGTCGACGCCTCGGTTTTGTTTGGCCTCAAGCTGTTCAGAAAACCCAGGGTCAGGGTCGGAACAGGATTTTTCGCTTGTGAAAGGACACTTCCGTCATGAAGGGCTCACGGGGTATGCAAAATCTAAGAAGCCTTCCAATGGTTTGTTATGTCTCGGAGCTTCGGTAGGGATCGGACGCGTCGAGGTCAGAGGGTTTCGGCCCTAGTTGAGAAATTCAACGCTCCTTCGATCAAATCAGCAAAGGTAAAGCATTTCTCAGGCAAATTTGTGCAGATGATTATCTGGGACACGGTTGGAAAAAATGGGGCTAGTTGGCAGGCAGAAAGCAGTGGCGAATTTTGCGGGCTTATTAATATAGTGCTCTAGGTCCTCGCGCTGCTTGTCATCGGCAGCGCGGCGTGCCACGACCTCACACGTCCCAAAAGCGCCAAGTTGGGGGAGGGGGGGTTCATGCCTGCATTCATGGATGGTGCCAAGTGACAACAAGTCAAGTCCGGCCTCTCTGCAAGTCGCAGTGCACTCGTGATTGGGCAAGCACGGAGCTTACGTTGCAGCTGCAGGTGTTGCCAGGGTTTGGTACACCTCCGGCACGCAGATCGCTCGCATGGACCCGTGCCCGGGGAGTTTCGCAGTGATGGCCTGCAGCATACTCTCATGCTATTGGGAGTGGCAAACCTATGACCAAGATTTGTTTATGAAGCCATGATCAAACCCAGCATGTGCCCTCGGAGCTAGCTGTCATCGTGACGCCGGTCTTCGCCGCCATCGCCACCATCACCAACGGCGTCAGCATCAGCTGCGGCTTCATCCGCGTTATCGCCATCATTTCCAACATCGCCTCCATCTCGCCATCAACATGTATTCCTCTATTTCGTAATTGCTGCTCATCCTCATCCTCATCAACAACACCATCGGCCTCATCAACATGAGCATCGCCACCACCACCATCACCAGCACATCAGCAGTAGCTTCAGCATAATGCTGTCCAAACATACAGCCCTGACGTGATGCAGCATGGCATGACGTGGCCAGACCTGGCACGACATTCAAACATGCATGCGCCTATGTATATGTAACTATATACATTTTACAGATAGACAATGGTGTGTGAGTGCTCGCACATTCGTTGATTCATGGATGGTAACAGCTAGCAGCTGTGTTGTCGGTCACGAAGTCGTAGAAATCTCTCTGCCTGTGTACTTGGTTTGTCGGAGCTGGAGCTGCGATTCCACCTCCAGGATCGTGGCTTTACTGTGGCCCGATCTCCTTCTCTTCTGTTGCCCCTAAAAATCGTGCGTGAGACCACAGGGCCCTTTCGTTTGCCTCGTCTGCTCTCTCGGCGGCACCAAATCTTTCCTTTTCCTGTCCCGATTTTTTCTCCAGACCCACACTATTTTCTCCCCGAGTGCGGACCTCACCGTGGCTGCCAGCAAACCGAACCGTCCCTCACCGGGGACTCAGGGACATTTGCTTCACCAAGCGACGCGGCGAATGGCACTGACAAAATCGAATTCATTCGCCATGCTTTCTTGTCCCAGCACATGATGAAGCGTCACGCTGAGGGACACGCGGACGGAAGCACCGGCACAGACGGAAGTGACAGCGCAGACTGTCTTACAGTCTACGAAGTTCGGAGGCAGCATGAACGCAGACCCAAGCCGACAAATATACACAGCATGCCATACACTGAGGCTGTGTCACGCACTGAAAATGAACGAGATAATTGATGATACCGCACGGTGCAGTGATTCCCAACTTCTCTCTCTTGCTAATGCAAATGGCAGAGAAAGACTTGGCGTGTCTGTATGGTGCCAGAGCAGTTTGCAAAGGTACAGCAACCCCATCGCGGCCTCCGAAGACTCCTACGTTCGACTACTGTCCTACGCGCTGGTACACGGCATGCCGAGCCCTGAGCGCAAACGGCTTGAGGGTTCAGGGAAAAGGAGCTCCAAGTTCGCTGAAAGCCCATACCGAGGCTGGAATATTCGGGCTTGGGGGGCAGTTATGAAGCCGATGGTCCGCATTTAACTGATGCAGGTCGGATTTAAGCAATAACATGAAGCTTTCAGTGGAAGAATGACAAGTTGCTACCTTCAAGCGTGCCCGGGCGTGCGTTCGGGCGCCGATTCCCGCCCCTCTCACATCGCAAGAAGAAGCGCGACCGGCAAAGCATTCAACTTGGCCTTGGGCGAACAACTCAATCGCGCTTGACCAAAGGTACCAAAGCTCCGAGATCTCCAAACAAAGCGCAGCAAGCCTGGAAAGCACGCAGAGTTTGATAAGGTATGTGAAGCTGCTCGCTTGGCCTGTTTTTCTCTGTGCGGGGCCCAGCATCCGTGCCTACGCCACGTCCCATCTCTCGGGACTGTTTGAGGTCTGTAGTTTAGATGTGAGACCTTGGGCAAATCGCGTTCTGTCGAACCGGGTTAGTTGCCTCTCTGGCCAAGATTCTCTCCGACTACTCGCGATCGGTTGCGCCTTGCTGCATCTGTCCATCAGTGACACATCCAAGCCTGATACCGCGGAAGCAACGCTCTTGCTCGACTGGTTCGTCGCGGTGCACCCAAACTTTCTGGGAGCAAGCCAAGCAGACAGTCCCCCGATTTCTGCACCTTTGATGAAATCGAAGATCTTCCAAACTCTGACTTGTAGCTTTGGACCCTGCCGGGAATTATAGTAAAAAGGTGCCTTTCTTGTGGATTCTCTGCTGCTTCCCTGAAACAGGTAGCTAGTCACAGAGTTTTCGCGTTTATGTGCGGTTTCTTGTAGGGCATGTCGGTTGAATCCTCATGCATCACTATATACGTGGCAACATGACGACCCCAAACTGCCGGCTGCTAACATCCTCAACTTGCCGTATTGCCGACACCTGCCGCGATTGCCGATTGATCCAAAGAACTGTTTTGCAAGCGCTTGCGAGTTTGAAGAAATGGAGCTTGTGGGGAGAACAGCGGTTCGGGGCCTTGGGCTGTTACTGCAATGTCTAGATTTCGGGCCAGGCCCGTTGCTGCTGATGGAGCAAGTGTCCAGGGCATTAGCGGGTTTTGGGACTTGGCATTTAGGTGAGTCTTAACACGTGGACTCAACTGAGCAACTTGTGGTTTCAGCGAGGTTACGACTATTCTATGGATGCCGTGCCGCTCGTCCAGTCCCTGGAGGAATGCCTTCGCACTGTCAGTACCTGGGTGTATGACGGTGTTTATGCTCTTCTCAGCTGCGGACATGTGGTTTCATTTGTCCTTGCATACCAGGGTTTCAACTGGTGACATCGGTAGTTGCAATCTCCTTGGAAGAGCAGCCGTGATCACCCCGGCAGACAGAGGACAGGACGGTAAAACTGAAGTCTGCAGGACGTGCGGCTTTTGCTGCCGGTGGCGGCGCACGCACCCTAGAAGAAGGGGCATCCTCATTGTCGGATCGCGGGGCTTGGGCCGTATGCCAGTGCATCCTGCCTCTGCTGCCCTGACAACTGCTGAACTTCGCCGGAGCCTAGCCCAAAGTGGCTCGAAGAAACTCAAACTTTGGAATGTTGTGCACTCGCCTTTATTTTGGATTCCAAAATGTCTTCCTGAGAAGTAGTAGCACGCCTGCGCAGCCCCTTCTTTAGTCATTCAATGCGAGCCCCTGGGCAGAAGTAGCAGCACTGCAGCAAACTCTTGTGTGAGCGCCATGTGCTGGGCCGGCACAATCGCAAAGCGATTCACGACGTTGAGCGCATTGAAGACCCCGGGCCCTGCTCCCGAGTGCTTAAATTGACAATCCGTGTTCCTCGCTGCCGGTGCCATGCGCCTTGCAGAGCCGGCAAGCAGAGGCGCAGCGCAGGGTGAGGAGCCGGAACTGTCCCTGTTGGAGTTAGAACCTTGCTCCCGAGGCCCTAGTGCAGACCCTTGACCATTCCTTGACCGGAGGTGCGAAGGCTGCAGGCTACCGGTGTTCTATTTGTCAAGGATTCACATCACGACTCGGGCTGCTCTTGAGGACCTGGAGGCCCGCCACCTCCTTCCAGAGCCCACCCGTCTCGGGGCGCCCCAGACTTCTGGAGGCGCGCGGAATTCGCATTTCTGTGTAGTTGGTGCTCAAACTGCGACGGCAACACTGACGTGCTGCGCAGCAATTCGACGAAGGAGCCTCATGTTTGATTCGCGTAAGATCACTGTGGGACCCTTACGGCTTCATCCAAAGGTTTCGACAAAAGGACTTAGGCCGATGAGTGCAAGCAGTCTCGGAGTGCCTGAAAATGAGGCTTGACAACATCCGAATGCCAGGCTACAAGGCTCCAGCCGACAATGATGCCATCGACAACACTGCTTGGATGCCTATCTGCATCCTAAGTGAAACTCTCCGCCTATGTTCAATGTGGCTAGGGTTTAAGGGTTTGAGATGGTTTGAGATGCCTAGCTAGCACGTGTTGAAGTTCCTGTTGAGCTTTGATATATGCTGGCTTGGATGTGGTGACCAAACTTTTCTCCACCCAAAACTTATACGCTGAGCTGAAGATACAAATGCCTGCGCGAAGCGCAAATTACTGCGCTGTACAAAGCTGTAGGGGTCTACTGGCCTTTGTCAAGCTTGACCTTTTCGGCATGGGCGACCCGTGCAGGGAACAAGGGTGCAACTGGTAGCCTTCCTCCCTCCGCCGCTGCACCCTCGAATCCTACGGCATGAAAGGCTAATTCGTCGAAATCATGAGCCCACAGCTTTCGCTGATTTACAAGTCTCGGGCCGGTGTTGTCCCGCAGAAAGAAAGTCGCATTGAACCACAGCCAAGGATGATCCAGGGATGCCTGTATCGCTGCTTGGGGCCGGTTTTCGGCTGGCTAGGCCAGACGTGATCTAAGCTACAGTGCCGCACTCTGCCGTTTGCTTTGAGGTCTGGAGTTGGGAGAACTCTCTGTGCCAGTGCTAGGAGACCTTATACAGACTGTAGGAATCAGAGCGCACCATTCGGCGACGGGCTACGACCGTTTGGTAGCGGAGGGACTACGCATGTTGGGGGCCATCTTCCGTGACAAGCCCTTGGTCGGCATGCAGCTTCAGCAGATGGACTTGTTGGCGGAACTTGCTAACGTCGTAATCTCAACATACACATCCCCACCGCTACTACATGCTACAATAATCTCTCTCTCGCCCTCTCCAAAAAACCAAAGATTACGAGAGCCGACTTCGGCCTCTCCCCGTCCCTAGTCCTAGGCCCTCAGCCCGTGACTCTGATCATGTCCAGGCTTCAGCTTCTTGGACGAGTGGTGGCCAAAGAGGAAGCTCCAGGCGACTGTCCTGCTGCACCTTGTGACTGAGCCTACGGGCTCCTCCGGGATTCATGCTTAAAGTCATTCCCGCTACAGCTTCGATTCAGGCTGACATTCCGTGGTTAGTAACGGTCAGTGCCACAACAGGGATTCAATTCCTGAGACATTCCAGGGTTCCGGCGTCGAGGTTACGTAATTCTTGCGCTGGCAGGTTGAAGATCTGATGCTCTACGAGACACAACAGGACAAGGGTTCTGGGGCAATTCCTCGTAGCTGGGGTATTCAGCCTGTTGGGGCATTGGGAGCCTATAGCGTCGCGAATTGAAGATTAAACTGCCTCAGCCTTCCCACCTCCTTTTGACGATGCCTCAGCAGGAGCACCAAAGACATGTAGCACCTTGGAGATAGAACTGGGGGGCAGGGTGCTTATTTGGGCGGCGGTTGACGAGAAACGGATTGGTTGATGGAGTACGTTTGCCTACATCCCGTCAAAGTGCAAGAAACACAAAAAAGACTCAGATATCAGCTCACGACATCTGCACAACCCTGTGCCTTAATGGCATCTGATACCTTGTGGTGTCCAGCAGCTGCCCCATCCAGACCTTCTTTTTGCACATTCCGCAACATCCCAGTTCTGACCCGTTCCCACTACCGATCTGCATTCGTCCATCTCTGCCCAAAAATCGAGGCTTGCATTGCCCTTGTTTTCGCGGGAGGTCTTCCGCCACGGCAGGCCAGCAGTGCGATGAATGTCGGGTTGGGTAAGATGTGGCCTACCGTCCAGCCCAGGTTGAAGACCCCATGTAAGTGGGTGGGGGAGGGGACGATGTAAATCTGCAGTCTGGAGAACTTGCTGCAATTGGTGCTTGCAGTCATGATTTGGTCAACTCCAGAGGGTAGGGGAGTCGGAATCATGTTTGAAGTTCGATCTAGGCTTTGGGAGCGCAGCGGGTGTGGACCTGCCTCGTACGCATGATTACGCATTGTCAGTTTGAGATCTTGACTCCAGGATCCTGCCACATCTCACACCTTTCGTAATGGATACCATGCCCCTACACGTCCTAATTCCAAGTGCGCCATATAAGCTTCTAGTCAAATGCCGTGGCATGATGAAGGTAACCGACTCACTCTGTTCTCAGCGACGACTAGTCACAAATACCGACTGGACCCGGGACCCATTTTCAGACGTATAGATACCTGACTATACAAGCGCGCATGTGCGTGTGAGGTTTATATGTATATGTATGCTGTATGCACACTCATTTCTAGTTTCGGTAAGATGCGTCAAGATGACAATCGCCATGTTCAATGCATAAACTTCAGCATCATGTAACAGCCTCCTAGAAAGCCCCTGCTCTGCTAGGATCTTGAGGGCGCGGCTCGGGCGTTCAGCAGCCGCGGTGACCGCATCTCTCGGTCAGAGCTGCAGGCTCCTTCCACCCGTAGCGCCAGAACGTATTTCAAGACACCCTCCGCCTCCCGAAGTAAGAGTCGTCGTCGCAGTAGTAGCACTACGAGTGGTGGTCGTCGTAGTAGTAGTAGTAGTCGTCGTCGTCGTGGTAGTGGTAGCAGTAGCATTAGCAGTAGCAGTAGTAGTAGTAGTAGTAGTCGTCGTCGTCGTCGTGGTAGGTGTAGTAGTAGTAGTAGTAGTAGTAGTAGTAGTAGTAGTAGTAGTAGTAGTAGTAGTGGTCGTCGCAGTAGTCGTTGCAGTAGCAGCAGCAGCAGTAGTGGTAGCAGTAGTGCTGGTAGCAGCAGTAGTAGTAGCTGTTGCGGTCGTGGTGG